GTGTGTTCAGCTGAAGTGTGTGTGTGTGTGTGTGTGTGTGTGGGTGTGTGTGGGTGACTCTGAAACACCAGCATATCAAAAGCTTTCACCTTTTCAAAGTTGGTAGCTAATTCTTTACTGTTATTAATTTTATTTGATCAAAATTTGCCAGATTTTTCTAAAAATTTAAATAATGTAATATGTTCATACAGGAGTAGGTGTATTCAGAAGTAAAACAGTATTCAGATCCTTTACTCAAGTAGCAACTACACAACGTAAACTCCTGCTGTATTACTAGCGGTGCCTGGGGGGCAGTGAAAATCTTGGGGTGGCTACAAAACTACAAAAGCCGTACGGCGCAGAGCAATTTGTGGCTACCCAAGTTAACCCTTGTGCTCTTGTGCACAGACCCGAACAGAGCACAAGGGTTAAAACATAACGATATTATATTAATCAAGGTCAAAGTGTTTATTTGTCATTTGCACAGTTTTGCCGTCCACATGAATGCCACATAAAACAAGTGAAATATAAAGTAGATGAGCAATAACACAAATCTAAATAGGCAGTAACACAAATCTAAGGTACTTTAAAGCAGCAGGTGAAGGAAGCAAATAAAAATACAACATGAACGCAATATATACAGATGTTACAAAAATATTTAGTGTTTTGTTGCTGTGTAATGTTTCTCCGTTCAGTTTACATTTGCAGTAGTGTTTTGGTCATGCAAGTTAGTGTTGGCTTATCACTTCAACTTCGGTCCACAGTACATCTCTGAACTGTGATGACAAAGACATTAGTATACAACCTTTTTCAAAGATTTATCAAAACATTTACGATTATTTATCTTTTTTTTTTCTGATTGAGGAACCCATTAGAATGCTGGCTATATGCTAACAGTTGCATGTTACCGTGCTAGCTTGTTAGCATGCTGTTAGCTACGGCTTTAGCAACAAGTCGGTTGCATTATTATGAATTTTTAGCAAAATAATTTAGTTTTTCAAAATAGTGATTCTGTGCAGGCTGTAAAATTAATGAAACAAGGAAGATTTGTAATGTTTTGGTATAAAATTGATTGGCACCTTTAATGCATAATATTAATTTATGGCTTTATTTATAAATTGATAGAGCTCACCCGAAATTCCCCATGAATTAATGTCAGTGAACGTCTGCAGCCGTCGTTTAGCTTTGTTTGGGTTGTGACCTGTGTTAATTTTCTGCCTTGCTCGTTTAGAGAAGAAGGAAGGGTTTGTGTGTGGGTAGACAAATTGTGTTTTGGTTTTAGTGTAGTTAATGTGTGAGGTTCATTTCTCCGTTTGCATATAGGTCTGCTTTAGTCAGTTTTCTTTTATGCTCAAACCTCCATTCTTGTAACTTTCTTCAGTTGCACATTTGACAGCCACAGCGTGGCGTTAAGATTTCCTTGTTCAGTCAACACAACACGACGTGGTAGTCTTTCATGAAGCAGTATCTGGGTTACGCCCAGTCTTCTGATATCCTGTTTTCATATTTCACTGCATTTACATTTGTCTTCACAACCACCTAATGTAATTACAAAATTCCATGTACTTGTACTTTTTAATGTAAAATAAACTTCATACTGTTTAATTCCTTGGTTGACCTCATGTGAATATCAGATTATGATATGAGGTCAACCAAGGAATCATTAATTGTGACTTCCATTTCAAATGCATGCAAATGCTTGAGCTTTGCCGTTATGTCACAGAATCGGCGACAAATGAGGGAAAGCGCAGACTCCGCTGAGCTGTGCACTGGGGAAATGATTCATGTCAACCCTAAGGGGATATGGCAAAGGTGATCACAGTTAGGAGAAAAGGTTTGTGCATAAAAATATGTAAGGTTTCCAATGTAATTTAACTTTTTTGTAGTAGAGATGAAACAATTAGCTGGTTAATTAATCATTCAACTGAAATAATATTGAAGTAAAATGCCAAAGGTTCACTGGTCACAGATACTCTAATGTGAACATCTGCTTGTTTTTTTTATCTTTGTGTTTTGAATGGTTGGTTAGACAAAACAAGAAATATAAATATAAGGATAATCAGGATAATCACCTTTATTGGCCAAGTATGTTACACACAAGGAATTTATTTCCAGTACAGAACCGATGGCAGCCATCTGCGACACCACCTCAACCAATGGCTCTAATATTCAGGGGCAACGGGGGGGTTCAGCGCCTTGCCCAAGGACACTTCGACACATGGACTGCTGGCACCGAGATTTGAACCTCCGACCAACTTTCCACAGTGTTTGTCATTCACAAGCTGCTGATTTCCAGTTAAATGTTTCAAATATAAAACAACCTTTCCTGCTCAGAGTGTTCACTCAACACCTTCCTGTCACTGCAGCCGTACTGTAGTGTCTTTGTCTTCATCAGCCAACACAAAAGTCTGTATCTGCCGTTTCTCCACATCCCAGCAAATGAAACAGAAACACAGTGTGAAAGCTGCCTTTTCTTGGACTCAGCCCTTTGAACATCTGCTCGGTTCGTGGCTGAACTCTGGCCAGAAGGCATCTGTTACTCAACAACATCTGTTCCTGTTACTCCGTCTCTCCCAGCATGCCGAGGGACACGCAGGCTCTCCCAAGGGTGGCCTTTTGTGTGCCCCATTGTCAATTCCATCATTGTCTGCTGAAGTCTGTTCCCATAATGCCACTGCGTTATAAACCCCAGCACAGTCCAACTCTGCTGAGACGATGATTTACAGTTACTTGTGTCCAAGCACAGTCAGCGTCTTTGTGGGGCAATTAAAAGGAAAATTGAGGGGAAGTTAAAGAGGTGGTAGCGAGGAAGGCATAGCACGCAAACCGAACAGTGTGAAGTCTCTACTTGTATACAGTGTGACTGCTGCATTCAGTTATGACCCTGAAAAGAAAAACCTTTAGCTGCATTAGAAGTGGAAAAGCCACTAAAGAGATTTTTTGGTGGAAAACCAAAACCCAAAGAGTTGAATGTCCAGTAGGCGTTACTCTACATTGATTTGAATTTTAGAGCCATGAATTACCTGACTTGTTCTTTAGGAGGAGAAGCAGGAGCGGTAAATCCAGCGTGGGGACATTGTTTTTTATGAAAAGGCCCCTCTCCCATCTCCAGGGAGACACTTTCAACTTCTGGCAGTAGCCAACAGCGTCGGCATAGAAAAGCCCACCATGGGGTCACCAGGGAAAGACAACAGATGTTACTGATTAACTTTGCTCGCAGACCCCTAACAAAGTGTTTTCTGGAGTGCGTGCAGATGGACAAAACAAAAGTTGGACGCAATTAAAATTTCACGTTTAGTAATATTTATTTGGAAAAATAGTCTTGGCTAATTCCTTCATTCACAAACAGTAAAGGAGACGGTAACGTAACAATTTGTACAATACAATCCCTCTTAAATAACATTTTCTTAAAAAAAAGTCCCATTGACCTGAAGTGCCTTTGCAAATAACATTTAAAAAAGCAACTTAAATAATCATAACATCACAAATATACAATACAAAATAAAAATAACTCAAAATCATTAAATTAACTTAAATTAAATCATAATTTTAAATCATAACTTTTTTCTTTATTTTACAAAAAGATTTTGTATCAAAAAGCAACTTAAATGTTTTTTTAATTTATTTATTTATTAAGACAAAGTATTCATGCCCCAAAAAACAGAAACGAAGAACTGAACAACACTATGTCACAAATGGTTTGGAGGGCTTAGGGAAGAAAACACTTCAGTTAACACAGTGTACATACAGTCTTCACAGCTGTACAGCCCACGTGAACAGCCTGATGAAGAACAGGCCACTATGGCCAAACATCCACCGTCTGATGCAGTTCTTGCGCTCGGCGACGGCGTGTGGGGTAGAGAAAAGGTCTGGGTGCAAATGTCGCAGCAACAAACATCGTAGCATCGAACGTTGTGTCCCTTATTTTATTTTTACCCACACTCCTTGATAAAAGGCAGAACAGAAAGCTAAACAGCAGTTTACTTTTAACAGTAAACTTTTTTTTTTTTTTTACCCTGCCAGTTCTTATCCCACAGGCCGCCGCTGCCTGCGCTTAGTTTCCAGTAGAGAACCAGCTCACTCTGAATATCAGTTAAACGTCTCAGTACCAGCAGCAGTCTGAAGGCGGGACACCTCCCCCTAGGGTTAGAGCAGCATCTCAGGGAGTGTAAAAACTCTCCCATAGAACAAATGAGCAACGGGCAGCCCACTGGTGGCTCGTTACACCTGGAGATACAAAAACACTAAGTTTAGTGTTTGTTGGCCAAATGACCACAGACAGAAAAGTCTTTACACTGGACATTAAGGCAAAATCGAATGTAGAAAACTCACCTCAGTTGCAATTATACATTCGTCCTTCTCCTCTGACATCACAAACACAGATTTGTACTTGGTGTCCGCACATGCGGACATTTCTGGGGCTTTCTTTTCTGATGCATCGCTTTGGGACAGAAGGAAAAACAGACGTTAGCTTTGTCGTACCTGCAGACTAAGTTTCAGTTTTTGTGACTGTTAATCGAGCACTTACCATTTTAAGCGTTTGCTGCGTTTCTTCTCAAACTCAAACGAGTCTGGGGATTGGCACTTGTCCTCGCAGGCCGCCTCCAGCATGGCCTCTTTAGCCGCCTGCTCATAGTTGACCTCGCGTACGAGGTTGTAGTCTGCGGGCGGATGGCGGCTCTTGTAGCTGCTGCTCCTCCCCGGTGAAGACCCTTCATCAGGGTCACTGCTGCAGAAGTCCATCTTCTTGTTGATATTTTTCACACCAGGCATCAGCATCACGCTGACCGCCAGGTCTCTGTCACTGCGGTGACAGTTGTTAGTCAGGTTGTTTATTGTCTCTCCCTCACCGACGGTTTCAACCTGACCGCCACGCTGGACTTTGGAACGGAAAAATCCAACAAGTACAGCACATCCTGCCAGCAGCAGCAACACCAGGGCCACACCAGACCCAACAGCCATCCAGGGCACCTCTGACCCTTGGATGGCAGCGTGCTCTGGAAGCAGGAACTGGCAGTTCCGGCCACCGTAGCCAGGGACACAGGCGCAGACGTATCGATTGTTTCTCTCGTGGCAGGTGGCGCCGTTGTGACAAGGGTTGTGTTCACAGCGGCTGATGGGTGAGCTGCAGTTGCGGCCAGTGTATCCTGGTGGGCAGGTGCAGGTGTAGCCGTTAGGACCCTCTTGGCACGTCCCACCGTTTTGGCAAGGGTACATCGAACACTCATCCCCGGTGTGGTCGCAGTTCATGCCAGTGAAACCATCTGGACACTGACACAGGTATGAGTTGACAAGATCCACACAACGTGCACCTGTGAACAGAGAAGAGGCCTGGCATCAGTGTTTGTCAAAGAAGCCAGCACATAGTTTGCTGTGGCACGTCGTGTCAGCCAGTGCCTCTCACCATTGGAGCAGGGGCTGGAGGTGCAGTGGTCAATCTTCTTCTCGCAGTTGAACCCTGCGTATCCCGTGGGACACTGGCAGAAGTAGCCTCCGTCAGGGTTGTCAGAACAGCGGCCACCGTTGGAGCAGGGCCCATCTGCGCACGTCATGGCACTCAGCTCGCAGTTGTTGCCATAGAAACCGTGAGGGCAAGAGCAGGTATATGTGTTTTCCAAATCCTGTGGGGAAAAAATAGAACAGCCGTGGCATCAAGATCTGTCTCACAACAGCAGCTGCTATGAACTGTAATCTTTAGAATTCCAGCTCCACACTGTATCTGATTGTTTAGTAATGTTTCGATATGCGGTGGCTTCTCTGGTGTAATGTGAAGTTGCAAAGCGTGTAGAGAGACAGAAAAGATGGAAGAGAAGGGACAAAATGTGACAAAGGTGCTTTCAAACAGCACTGGCACTGAGCCTCCGCTCACAGGGCATCTCTGTCTTTATTCCAAGTTTATGTAAGAAGAGCACACAACACTTACAGTGCAGCTCCCTCCATTGCGGCAGGGGTTTCCAGCACATTCATTGACCTGGACCTCACAGCTGGCCCCAGTGAAGCCGGGCCTGCAGGAACAGGTGTAGCTGCCCTGACCGGTGTTGCTACAAGTGGCTCCATTCATGCAGGGCTTGTGGTGAGTGCAGTAGTTGAGATCTGGGAAAGCACAGCAGCACATGTGGATTAGGCGCAGCACAACACATGGCAGGACAACGGCAGCAGCGACAGAATGTCTTTTTGTCCTCCGACACACTTGACTCTCTCTTCTTCCAGTGGTTTTTTTGTTTCCTGTGCCTGGCCTTCTGTCCTTGCTGTTCACCCGGAGACAGCTGCTGCTCTGTGCTCTTTCTTTACCACAGTGTGGAACCTTTTGTGCTGGTATCTTGATGTCTGACTAACTTTCTCTTCCATGTCTCTCTCTCTGTACATACTTTTTACCTTTATCAAACAGGTTTACAGAAGACGGACCAGAGAAGTAACATGCTGCAAAGATCCCACACTATTTTCAAACCCTGTACTTGGTGAAAGGCACAAGAACTACCTATCTGCTATCTCAACCCAGTAATCGTGGTTCTGGTCATTTGCAGCTAACCTAGACAAAGGAGAGCACTGATTCATTAGCTTGTCGTCTATCTGTGTGAAAATTGAAAACTGAGATTGTTTAGAGTGTTTCAGATATTTTAACCTGTTTCACGCTGACATGCTGTTGACTCATCTGAGGACTTTTGACCATGTCTGTCCCAGCTTTACCCTGGATGCCTCGACTCCCCCACCCCCCAACTCTTATCACTGTCTCTCCTCACCTTGGTTGCAGAAGAGCCCCCCCCATCCCTCCTGACAGTTGCACTGCCAGGGCTGCTGGCAGGTCCCATGGAGGCAGCCCGGGTAACGAATGCACTCGTCGCAGTAGCGGCCTTTGAATCCCACTCTGCACCTGTTGTTGTTCCAATTAGGAGGGAACACCGGTCAGTCCACTCACATTACCTCATGTGTCCTACTAATTAATTAATGCCTCAGTGAACTGTTGGAGGCGACTTACTTGCACTCTCCAGGTTTCTCGCAGAAGCCGTGCTCTTCATCGCAGCCCGGCAGACAAATTGCTGTACAGGGAAAGATAGGAAAGACACTTTTCAGAAACAGAGGCAGAAGATATCTTAAGATAAATGAAGGTTCTCTGTGTGGTTTTGCTTTTGGAGAATTAAAACTTATCACCTAACTCTAAACAAGTCATTAAAGTAAAAGAAGGGAGGGGCTCCTAAAACCATTAGCTGCTTCCTTAAACTCCTCCTTATCACCATGGAAGAATTTTCTGCCTAACAGTGTTGAGACAAAGGAGTGGGCGCGCACACACTCACACACAGACCCCCTCAACCCGCACCTCCTTTTTTTTCTTCTTCCCTGCGGGTCAACTCTTTTTCTCATTCTGTGCACACACACATACACACACTCCCCTTAATGTCCCGGATTGGGGCAGATAAGAGTGGACAGCTGGCGAGTGTGTTGCCAGTGCGCGACAGCTGCTCCATTGTCTCCTCTCTGCCGGCAGCTGCCCACGGCCCACTCCGGGAGCAACGAATGGGACGGCAGCATGTAAATTTATGGCACGCGTGAGATTATTCCCCAAAACTTTCCTTAGAATAAATCAAGTGGTCGTGTGTGTGTGCGTGGGTGGGGTTGGGGGGTGTTTACGCACAAGTTGCCGTCTAACGGCACTCAGAGGACCTGGTTAGAAATGAACTTTGGAGACATTTCCTACAGTTCCACCAAATAAAACTCATTTTATGTAGTAACCTGTTTTACATCAAGTTAAAAGCAACTTGGTGTTTTACCTCCAGTTTTACCTTCTATATGCCATATTTGTTTACTGGGTCGTTTCCACCACCCAACATATTTGTACAGATGCTCCTAAAATACAATCAACGTTTTATTACTCACGTTCAGTGCAGTATTGTCCCTTCCACCCAGCGTCGCACACAATCTCTCCACGCTCTCCACAGGTGAAGTGGCCGAAGGCGTCGTCTCTTGGCCGGCAGAACACCGAGCAGCCGTCCCCGTAGTAGTGCTCATCGCAAACGAACCGGTATGAGTACTTGAGCTCCGTCGGGCCGCCGGTGTGCACGTCCTGGGACCACTCCTCTCCCACCGTCAGACGTCTCTGGGTGGTCATGGTGCTGATAACGCGGTCTGGGGTCTCTAAAACACACAAGGGAGGGGTTAAAGGGTGGAAAAGTGTGTAAAAGTCTAAAAATGTGATAGAGAAGCGTGTTAATTTCCTACCTGTGGAGAGGTCGTCTTTGGAGTCGGTGTGTAATGCCTCAATGATCAGCGAGAAGGTCCCCTGGGAACACAAATGGCTTCATGAGACAGGTGGCCGGCGGAGAGGTGGCGATAACATCAAGCAAAGGCCCGAGGCGGCTGTGCCATACACTCACTGTGCTGAATACAAACTGCATAACCTGATCTGGTGAAACTGAATACCTGTAAACATTCTGTGCTCTCAGCCTGAAGTTGAGGTCAGAAGTTGAGTCTCGGCGCGTTTTTACGCACAGATTTACTAAAAGGCGCGATTTGGTCGAGTTCACTTCTAATGTGGTGAAGTGAGCAGCGATGGCTGCACTTACCGGCCACGTGAAGCCGAAGTTAATCCTGATGGGGTTTGTGAATGAGTTCTCCGGGATGGCGTCGGGGACCTGGAACGAGTTGGAGCCGAGCACGGGCGTCACTGCGCTGCCGTAGGTGCACGGAGGCTCCGGGGAGGCGTTGGGCTGGTAGTGCTTGAGGCAGATCCTGAAGAAGGTTTTACATTCGCACTGCTGCTGGAAAGACGAGGCCAGGCCACCTTTACAGCAGTTTCTGTTGCCCTGTACCCCCTTCTTGTTTAGGAACTCCTGCAACTTCAGCTCAAAAACTCCCGAGCACAACCCCTGCGGAGGAAAGCAGCTTATTATAATTACCTCTACATACAGTCCCGCGCGTGTGTGGTGTATGGTGTGGGTTGATGGTTCATTATTGGGAAGAATCTTACCTGGCACAGCAACATGGACATGACGGCAAGAGTCAGCAGGACGACGCGCCCCATATTCAATAAATACATAATAAATAATAAATAAATAAAGTAAAACGTCTGGGGCTCGGCTTTACGGAGTTTTCTCATCAACTGCTGCCGCCGTCAGCCACGCCGCTCTCATTCATGTCCCAGTGAGCAATAAAGGATATATCCCAAACCCTTAAAGATAATAACTGACAAAAAGATCACAAAGTGGGATAATGTGAACTTGTGTGAGTGCGCAAAAATGAGAAGTGGTCCAGTTCCGTTATAAAGCGTTAATCCAGTGCGTAAAAGGAAATGATGGGTTCCTTGTTTTGTCAAATATTAGAAAGCAGATTTTTGAGAGAAGGTCTTGGAGTAGCCCAGAGACAGATTTGTCACTGGTCCAACATGCTTCCCTCTGCCTCCCAGTGTCTTCCCTTACTGTGAACTGTGCGTCTGTCTCCAGCAAAGGCCGCCTGCAGCCTGTTATATACGGCCTGGCACATGCTATGGTAATAACATGCAAATGGACCCCTCCTCCACCTCCTCACTGACTTCACCTCCCAATCTGGCCTGGCTCTCCACAGTAGGATCCCACGCACGCACCCCAACAGCCTCCTTGTTTCCACTGCAGAGCCCAAAACAGAGATGTGTGGAAGTATTTATCCCAGTAAAAAGAAGTAAAAACTTCATCAGAACGCTGTGACTCCTACAGGCGGAGGCGAGACTTTGCTGATTTATATTAGTCCATATTCATAGTGGTGCCTTACACCTTTTCGTTCAAGGGAGCCCATTATTAGTTTATTAGCTCAAAAACATAAAATAGACCGTTGGCTGTTGTTTGCAGGTCATAGCCCCAAAGTGTTCCAGTCAGAAACATGGCTAAGAAAGTTGCACTAAGCCAGAATGCAGGAAGGTTTGAACAGCTACAGATGCCATGAGGATGCCGATTGGTCCCTCCAGCTGTTGCAGCGTTAGAGAAACTTGTTTGTTTTTGGTGTCTTAAGATATTTTGGGTGAAGTGCCAAAAACAGTGTGAAGCTGATTCAGAACTCTTCCCCCAAAGAGTCTAACCCAGTTAATTGTTTACACCCCTCCTTCTCTTCCTCCCTCTTCCCTTCTCTGCATGCACACCCTCTAGATTTTGGTATTTCTGGTTGTGGGAAGAATTTGATGCTTTGAATCGAATCAAAAGACTAAAGAAAACATTCCTTGGCAGAGCTGTGCGGTGAGGTAAACGACTTGAGGGGCTGGACTCCTGCTTTTTCATTTTGCTCTCCCCTTCTTCTCATTCTCCGGGCTAAGATGAAAACAAAAAACGCGTGTATAAATGTGTACGTGCATGCACAGGGGCGCGCGCTCACCGGAGTCGCTCGCATGGCCAACATGAGGGGGAACTTTTGTCATTGTGTGTGTGTGGTGAAGGAGTAAGTTTGCTCTCTCCCCCCTCAGCTGTATGGTAATTCGGCCAGCACCTGCTCTCCCTTCAATAACAGAGTGTGCGCGCCTCTCGTGGCTGAACGCGCGCCCACACGCCCCCATACACAGTGCTCTTTCTGCCCTCACACGCACACGCACACATCACTGGACACCAGGCAAATGCAACGCGACAAATATTGCACATATTTACTTTCTTCTTTAATTATTGACTAAATTCTGTGCAGCAGGAGGAAAAACCAGAACTGGGCCAGTGTTATGTCTCAGTTTCTGCGTTAAAACTGGGTGTGTGTGCGCGCGCACGCGCCAATGAATAAGGAGCAGGAGGTGGGGGTGGTTTCTTAATTAGCTCGTTCATTTGATGTGTGATCGTTCCTTCTTGCTGTATAATGGAGCCTGAGCTTCACGCGAGGTGCACGGTGCTGTGCACGTACTGTACATTGCATCACTGTATCTCTAAATGTGCGCGTCAAATGGCAGTAACAACCAAGTCCTCCTCCATTAATAAACATGTCCATCTCTCGTTTCTCACCGCGCTGTGTTTTAAATCTGACGCCGGCTGAACCGTGACCATCACAATTAACCGCCGATAGAGACAAGAACCTCCATCTTCACTCAGACAAAGGAGAGACCTCGTTCATTCTTAAGAGGCCGTTTGGCAACTTTCATGAAGTGTCACTGTTGAACAGATCTGAGCTTTGGGCCGCTCAGTCTGCACAAACAGTAAAGTCATGAAATCTGCAGCTTCGCGGTTTATATTCATCACATGGCTTGAGCCACAGGGCTAAAACTAAATCAGGAATAAAAACTAGACAAGCAGCGGAAACCAAATTGAACCTGGGATTAAACAGTTTGCCTCTAAAATGAAGTGAACCCTAATTCTCTGCCAGCAGGTTGATCAAACCCTAACATCTAACCCAATCAATATCGATACACCTTAGTAAGTCAGTTGTCCTTCATGTATGTCACGTGACCTCACGGGGGGCGGGTTGATTAGATTTAAAGTTGAGCAAAAGGCTGAACAAAACTAGAAATCAAGTCAACCAGGAGCCGAACCTGTAAAACGGAACCGTTTGGACACGTTGTCCTGACACTGTCCGTCCCTCCGGACCGAGGTGCCGCTGGCTGAGCTCTGACTGTTTAACTAAAGTGCTACTGTAGGGGGCTGCTGTAGTTTAACTCCTGCCCACCAGTAGCTGCGCCAAACAAAAAAGGGTGACTCAGGGTTTGACTATTCATCCATTCTCTGCGCTTTAATTTCCATTGATTGTGAATGCAGGAGGGAGGGAGGAAGGTGGTCTTCAATGAAGGACCACGACACGCCTTCAGACGCGGACAGACCCTTACAAGCCATCTGCCACTAACTAGCCCCCCCTCCACATCCAGAAAACGACGTTTATTTCCCCGCTACCCTCCCTCTTCCCTCCTCCGCCCCTAAGCGCACGTCTCTATGCGCCTCTGTCCACCGGGCTCCGTCTACTCTCAACTGGAAGCATGTTAAAGGACCTGTAACGGTATGGGCCCTCCGGGGCCATATGGCGAGGGGGAAGACAGGAGGTTTTTAACTTTTTTGGCCCCCGAAGAGGAGACACCACATGGTCACTCGTGGGAACGTAAACACGGCGCGCATCACACGATATCGATCATATGAAGCGGTGATTGTGGAAGGGGAGGAGGAAGAGTGAAACCGTGGTGAATGGTGATCATTTGATTGTTTTTACATTAACACCTCATCAGTTCAGGGAATAGCTATTGACGCATGAGCATCAGCCCCGGGTGAAGCGCACTGAGCCGAGCCCCATGATGGTGCTGGGGTTGTTGGTTCGATAATAATCGAGGGGAATCGATAATAATCTATAATGATCTAAATGATAATGATCTAAAGATCAACGCTGTCAGAGTTTGGGTGGGGTGGGGGGTCTTTATAGAGGCCACTCGTGTTAAAGTGTAGGCCGTACAGAAGGCCTCAAGGAAATGGCAGGTTCTGAATCAGCACTTTCCCAGGAGGACATGCTTTCACGCACACCTCCCCAGTCTTTAATACTAACGCACACAAATGTTGCTACCATCAAACAAAAAGGACTGTGGTGATCACGTGGGGACTAACATTACTCCAGGCTGCTCCACAGGGAGTTTATGGCAGCTTTGTTGTATTGACTTACACTTTGAAACTCAGTTAGGTTAGTGTTCTCGTGATGTTTCCAAATATTTTCACAGTTCTTTGTCTCTGGGAGACCCATGATTTAAGACCGGACCTGGACTGTCTTCGCCTGTTTTACCTGCTGACGCAGAGATCAACAGGCTCCTTTGTGTCCGGATCAGATTACTGTGGCCAGCTGCTGGAGGAAGGGGCCACAGGCCAGATCCGCGGCTCCCCAGGGCTCGTCAAGGCTACCGAGGCTTCCCACGGCTCCTCGAGGCTCCCGGCCCGGGCTGCTGTCTCATTTGCATACGTCGCTGTTACTGGAGACGTGCAAAGCTGTAAGTTAATGGGAGAGTGCCACAGTAATTGCGTGGGGGGTCCAGAGACCCGTTCGCAAGTGTGTGTGTGCGCGTGAGGGGGCCAAAGAGGGAGCTGTACGTTGCCAGTCGCGTGCCAGTGTTTATGAAAACACGTGTGCCGCGCACCCCACGGTGACGCACCGCAACATGTGCGGCTCCACAGGAATAAAATCCATAAATCATCAACTGATACTGTGCGTGACACGTTTACCCACAACCAATCCTCAGGTTAGTGCCATGATGACGTGATGACGTGAAGGCTTCAACGTGCGTCAACGAAAACCTCAGCGTTAAAAGTCAGAGGTGGGAAGTAACTAAGTACATACACTCAACTACTGTACCTAAGTACAGTTCAGAGGTATCTGTACTCGAGTATTTTCATTTTCTGCTGCTTCACACTTTGACTTCACTACATTTATTTGATAACTTTAGTTACTAGTTACTTTTCAAATCAGATCAATAAATAATCGTAAGACTTCCCTTGGTGGGAAATACACAAGGTACCTGTTGGACAGTCCACAGTCCGCAGTCCACTCCTTTGGCTCGTAATAAGAGACGTTGTGTTAACGCTTAGCCTCCTCCGGGGTGTTTATTCTGTTACAACAAACATACAACTTAACATGTGGATCTGAAATGGCATCAGTCTGGAAAATAATAATAAGAGCTCTTTTCTATGCTCCTTCTCTCAAGAAGTAATCCTCACACTCTCTTGCTCTCTTACATAACCGGAAGTATGTACAATAATGTCCTTCAAAACAAAAGCATGTTTCATACAATGAGTAAAGGCCTATTCAATAATTAACATCTTAACAGTACCCAGCAGTAATTCAAATTATAAGTAGCTAAAATAGCATTAATATGATATAGGCCTACATTCTGTCTTATGAGTACTTCTACTTTTGCTACTTCAAGTATATTTTGATGCTAATGCTTTAGTAAGTTTAATTAAATACCATTTTGAATGCGGGACTTTTATTTGAGTATTTTTATGCTGTGATATTTCTACTTAAGTAAACAATCAGCGTACTTCTTCCACCACTGGTACTGTAGGATTTTAAAAGTTTTGTTTTGAGTATCAGACAGTAGCATCAGTAGGATCAGTACTGGAAGCACTTCGACCTAATGAG